TTTTATACTGCTACAGACAGACTAACATGACTTCATCTCTCTTCCCTACTGGAGATTGTTCAGTGACAGCACTGGAAGTGGTCACAAGATGACTCACCTCCTGGCTGGCTGGTGGTGACCCCAAGGTGACCCCAGCAGCAGACTCTCCCCGCCCCCAATGAAACACCACCTGGCAGTGCTTCTTCAGATGGTTCCACAGTGCAGTCGTTGAGAAAGGACCCAGGTCTAGAGACAGGCATGAACCACATTTATGTGGCTTGGTATGGTTTGGTTCGGCTGAACCATGAACTGAACCACAATATTATACAAACTGGGAGGTCAGTTTGCAAACCAAACCAGTTCATATGGGATGCTTTCTGCTTTTCATGGCTGCTTTTCATGGGGAGCAGAAAGCAGGGGTTTAAATAGTTCCAAAATACTTAAGCGGCACTCCACCACTCAGCTGTTTGGTTTAAATGGCTTGGAGCTGAACCGAAGAAAGCCCCTTTAAACAGCTGAGCCACGAGAAGCAGTTTTCTCCAAGCGGTTCAACTGTTTATTATTTATTTTGTAAAATATGTTTTATTAAGGTTTTAGGGTATACAGAGATTGGAAAGGGGAAGGGGGAAAGGAACAAAAATACTAAGTCTTTTGCATATAAATCTTCTCTACTTACCATTTCACGTTATACAGACTGAGATTTTAAAAGTTCATAAAGGCTTCTTTGTATTATACTATTAAGGAGTTCATGCCTTTGAATTTCTTTCTTATCCAATTATAAAATGGTCCATAATCCAACAAAATCTTCAATTTGCCCATTTAACATCAATGTCAATTTGTCAGTTTCCGCACTTTCCATAGTTTTTACTATTAGGTGGTATTCAGAATGTATTGTTGGATCAGTTCAACTGTTTAAAGGGGCTTTCTTAGGCAGTAAGCCCCAGGGACTGGCTGCCCAAGAAAGGCCCTTTAAACAGCTGAGTGGGGAAGAAGTTTGCTCCTCATGGCTCAGCTGTTTAAAGGGGCTTTCTTGGGCAGCGAGCCCCAGGGCAAGCAGGCTCAGCAGTTTAGAGCCCAAACAGCTGAGCGGATGGGAGCAGTCTGTTCCTGCCACTCAGCTGTTTTGGTGGCTTTCACAAGGAGGAGAAAGCGGGGATTTAAACCCATGCTTTTTGCTCCCCACAGACCTCCACGAACTGCCTTAAAAGTTCGTGGAGGTTCATGACTGGGCTGCAGTTTGCAGTTTTGCAAACAATGAACTGGCCAAAATTAATCACAATCAACGTTTCATGAGCTGGTTTGTGCCCATCCCTACCCAAGTCTCTCCCTCAACTGATCTGGGCCATGCACAGCTGGCACTGTGTGAAGTGGAAATTCTCCATGCACTGGAAGTTCTTCCAGACTGTGGAGGTGTAGCGGCACCCATGCTGACTAGCAGCTGCCGATTTCCCTGGAACTGCCTCCTGTGAGAAGCTCAGGGCAGACACACTGTCTTGGGGGGATAGAAAGAGATGCTTGAGCAGGAAGAGATTGAGATGGCAGCACCTTGGGGTATGTTTTTGGCTTGGATACACCCAAATGCACATCCCTACTCAGTGTTGCCTTCTCTAAGGGCAGACAGTGCGAAGCATGCTTTTTGTGCTGGGAAGATCACCTAGCCTGAGCGCATTACAGCAACTGCTGTTTCACACTCAGGCTTTGTGATGTTTAGATGTCTGGGGCTGCGATCATACGGAGCGGAAGCTGTGGCAGGCAAACGATTCCCCCGCGGATTAAAGGGATGTGATCAGACAGACACATCTGTCTGGCATCCCGGAGTCATTGGCGAGGTGTCTCGCTGCGCTGCAGGAGCGGTGCAAAAAACCACCAGGGAAAGGTAAGTATCATGTGGAACTGCGTGGCAGGCAGGCGGAAGTCTGATCGCACAAACGCGCATCAGTTTGCCCCGGGGCAAACAGCCTTGCTTCCCGCCCGCAGTTCCTCGGTGGTGTGATCGGAGCCTGGTATTTTTTTCAGGGTCCTCCCCCCACAGGCAGTCAGTGAAAATACTGGACTGTTAGGGTCAATACTGGACACCTGGCAAACTTAACTGTGGACTATACTACTGCACACATTATGTACTGTTTGTTGCCGTATGTATGATCATTTGTGATTTATGCATTATTTAATGTATCATATGAATTAAGCTCCATTTTCAGAGTTCTGCAAACCAAACCATGTTGCTTTTTTCACTCAATGTCCCATTTTGTTGATTGTATTTGACTTATACTGTTTAATCACCATTGAGTCTCAGCAAGAAAGGCAGGCTGTAAATAGATAAAATGTGAATAACCATTGTTTTCTTACTGATGAAAATGTTAAAGGAGCTCAGTTTATAGAACAAGATTACCATGAGGGGGACTCTGATTTGAATTAACCAGTCAGCCTAATACATGTCTGCTGTGCCCTTGGACTGAGATAAGACTGGAAACTTCTGCTGCCAGCCCTAAAAGAGCCAACGAAGCTTTAGTGTAGTTGATGATCTCCAACAGTTCCCCCTCCCTCCTATAACATTCTTGAATTTATAAACATAGATAAGACAAATGAGGACTGGCACAGAAGACACCATTAATCAGAAGAATGGCTCAACAACTCGCCCAGGGCTCTTCAGGCCTCTGCTTCCTTCTAGCCCCCTGTGACCTTAGGGCATGTCCACATCCTGGCATTTCCTTAATTATGTTAAGTGGTGCCCCGTGTAAGATCTTCCTTCTTAAGTATTAAACACCAAAAAAAATCCAACAATAGATGTTAAAATTAGTTGTTACAATTTATATTACCTACATCTTGAATAGTTTCCTAACATGTATACAATGTCTTCCGGTTAGAATACCTCAACATAAATCATTTCTGTGGGAATTAGATAGGTCTTTCTGTAATTGGTCAGGTTCATCTTGATTGGATGGTTGTATGAGTCAGATGACTGATGGTAGAATAACTACACTATGAAGACACAGGTGAGAATCCTGGGATAATTCTGATACTATATTCATTACTGTGCAATAATTTCCCATCTCAATCTGGATAATACAAAAATACAACCATACGTCATTGGTCTCATATATAAGAATCATACTGTCTCATACACACCTTATACCTGATTTGGGAGCAGGAAGTTCCCAAAGATTTCATCAAAATCATCAACAAATCATCAGTCAAAGGCAACTGCCCACCCACCATGCACCCTGTCTTCCCCAGTGACTATTGCCTTGTGCACAAATGTTTTCTTCACCAAATGGGTGGGATAAGAAAGGTCCAGAAAGACAGAGTGGTGAGTAAAGAAAAGTCCTGTTATCTCTCCAGGCAAATTGGAGCATGCCAGGTGTTTTGAAACTCGTGGAACCACCGGGCCTCCTCAGTCATACACACCTCATCCATGTTCACATATGAAGTGACTTAATGCTTTGACTGGCATCCAACAAGAATTGCTTTTACCTGAAGTTATGTGTGTTTTTGTTTTACCTCGGTAAAGTATAACAGAAGGAAAACTGATGTCGTGAAACAAGTACGGTCACATGTGCTGGAAAACAGATCTCCCCAGGAATTTTCTGAAGGCGTTCCTTACCTCAATATTCCTCAAACTATATATTATGGGGTTCAACATGGGAGTAACCACTATATAGACCAGAGAGACTACTTTATCTAGGTTGTGCGTTTGCCTAGAGCTAGGACGTCCATACATGATGAAAAAACCTCCAAAGAACATGACGATGATAATGAGGTGGGATGAGCAAGTGGAGAAGGTTTTCTGACGGCTCCTGGGAGAGCTGATCTTGAAAATGGTGGCCAGGATGCAGGTGTAAGAGATAAGAATGGTAACCATGGTTGATATCACATTGAACCCAACACACACAAACATCAACAGTTCATTGAGACTGACATCAGAACATGAAAGAGCAAATAGCGGAGGGCCCTCACAGTAAAAATGATTAATGGTTTTTAGGCCACAGAAAGATAGTCTAGAAGCAGCAACTGTATGGACCAAGGCATTTGTAAACCCTGCAGCATAGGAAACAGCTATTAGGTACACACACTTTCTTTGAGACATGATAACTAAATAGAGCAGTGGGCTACAAATAGCCACATAACGGTCATAAGCCATCACAGCCAGAAGATAGCATTCAGTGGTGGCAAATGCAACATAAAAGTAGAGCTGAGTGAAACAACCAGCAAAAGAAATCAGCTTCTTCTCTTTTAAGAGATCAGTTAGCAACTTAGGGGTGACAGATGATGAATAACAAATGTCAAGGAAAGACAAATGGCTGAGGAAAAAGTACATAGGAGTGTGGAGCTGAGGACACAATCTGATTAAGACAATCACACCCGAATTACCCACCAAGGTGATGATATAAACAGCGATGAACATCACAAACAGGAGGATTTGCAGCTCTGGAATATCTGTCAGCCCTGTGAGCATGAATTCAGTCACGAGTGTGTAATTTCTCCTTTGCATGCTAACTCTGAGGAAATGAAAATAAATAGGGTTGTTTTTTTTCCTTTTAACAACTTAAATAGTGGTAGTGCAATAAAGACATAGGGGTCTCTGTATATTTATAAGTAATATTTTAAAAGAAAGAAAAAGACAGAAGGACCCAAGTCCATCTCTGAGAACTGTGGAGGGATTAATGGACAGTGAGATGGGATCCTTCCTCAGAAGCGGATGTGACTTCTTGTAGCAGTAAATGCTGTCTCCACACTGATTTTATAGCAGTAAAGCTCGAAACCTCGTTGAATCCGACTCTAGGGTGTGGTGCTCTTCTCTGTTTCCACACTGTCTGAAGGCGTTTCCATGGTCACGTGGTTGGCATGACTGAACATCGAGGTGCGTGGAACGCCTTCCCACCAAAGCGGTACCTATTTCTTGCTTTTGAACTGCTAGGTTGGCAGGAGCTGGGGCCAGAGACGGGAGCTCATACCATCACGTGGCACTAGGGTCTCGAACTGCCGAACTACAGACCTTCCGGTCTGCAGCTCAGTGTCTTAACCTCTAAGCCACTGCAGCCCCTTGAATTTATAGCAACATTACTTCTAACAATATTATTTTTTAACTATTCCACAGATGTACCATTCTGGAACATGCTGTCTAAGTATGGTCAGAGTTAGATTGTTACAGGAGAGTCAGGGTTGTATACAATGGAAAAATCTAGAATTAGAAGGTTACCTGAGGGTCTGTCTAGACAAGGAATTCTACTAGAGAAGTGCACCAAAGCAAACAGATTGGGAGTCTGAAGGACCAAGGAGGCTCATAGCTTATTGTACCTGTAACCCAAAACTTTTATCAAAAAGGAACTCACCTAATGAAGAACAAAGGCCATTCTGGGTCAAGCACAACCTTCTCAAGTGGACTGTTGGAAAACTTTAATGAAGGGAAACCACCCTGATGCCTCCAGGCAGGTTTTTTCCCCTGGACCTCAGAGTACACTCAGCAGATCTGTGCTTGACCTGCAAGCAATAAATGGTTGTGTGAGAAACAACAATTTCCTTTATTTCTGACACATTTTGTGATACACTTTTGTGAATATATGTTGTCTTCCCTATCCTCTACAAACATTGTTAGTCCCCTGCCTATACTAACTGTACATCGCTTTGAGCCCACTGGGGAAACCGACTAATAAATGGAAAGTATTAGTATTAGTAGTATTAGTAGTATTAGTAGTAATGGTGGTGGTGGTAGTAGTAGTAGTAGTAGTAGTAATCTGTGCATTAACAATCAGTTGTTCTGTTCTCCTTCTTGAGTAATGGACAGTATGTTTCAGGATGGCAGGTACCAATAGATCATGGGAGCTGAGAGTATTTAGTACCCTGTGCCAACTGCCATTCATGTTGCTGATCTAGTCATACGCATGCCTGTCAGTTTCCACTGAAGACTGATTTCTCCTCCCCCCCTCCCAGTAGATAGGAGTTAACAGCCATCAAAACTTGAACTGTGCTGTGTTTATCAACGCGTATACGCTTGGCTCAGCTTCTGGGCAGAATGACTGAAAGTCAGCTCTTTGCTGGCTAAAACATTATGCTTTTATGGGCTCAAGGGATTGGGAGAACTGGCCTCTGGTCTAAAATGAGTCTCTTTTCCCTCAAATTCATTTTAATTAAGAAGCCACATACAGACTTTCAGTTCATTGTTACAGACATTCATCAGTAGTGTTGTATAATTTCTCCCTTTTCTTATAATAGCAACTGTTCTTGATTCATTAAAATAAATCTATCTATCTAGTAGCAAAGGCGCCCCCTGTACAGGCGCCCCCTGCGGGCAGGGAGATTTTCCTGCACACTTGAGGCAGTCCCCAGGTGTGCACAAAAATCTAAAAAGTTGAAAAAAATATAGGGGGGGAATTTAAATCCCCCCAAAAGTAAAAGCGCCTTCCCTGTGCATGTGCAGGGATCGCTCTGGGAACTCTGCGGCGGGCTGGCGGTTGGAAGTTGCTCAGGCCTCGCCGCAGGAGGAGGGGGGAGGAGGAGATCTGCGGCGGTGGAGGAGACCGCCAGGGGCAGGAGGAGATCAGCGGCGGCGGGGGGGGGAAGAAGGAGATCAGTGAGGCCGCTGGGGCCTCATCGCCAAAGCCGGGGGTGGTGGAGGAGACTGGGGATGGGGGGGGAAACGGTTAGCTTGGCGGCTGGCAGCCGCTCAGGCCGCACCACCGGTGTCCGGGGATGGGGCGAAAGGCTTACCTGCTGCTGCTGTTGCTGCTTCCTCCTCCTCCTCCTCCTGCTCTGCATGCAGCTCTCCTTCCCACCCCCCACGAGTCTCACGGGTCCCCTTTCTTGTTTATTTCTAATGCTGCAATCCCTTTTATTTTGAAGAAGAAGAAGAGAAGATATTGGATATATACCCCGCCCTTCACAACCCGTCTCAGAGCGGCTTACAACCTCCTTTCCCTCCCCCTCCCCACAACAGACACCCTGTGAGGTGGCTGCAGCTGAGAGAGTTCTTGACATAAACTGCTCTTTTTCAAGAACAGCCCTTATCAGAACTATGGCTTACCCAAGGTCATCCAGCCAGGTGCAAGTGGAGGAGTGGGGAATCAAACCCAGTTCTCCCAGGTTAGAGTCCGCGCACTTAACCACTACACCAAACTGGCTCTCATTTTGAAGCAATCCTACCAGGTACAATGAGATTTAGTTCAAAGCAAATACATTTTATTTTCTGATTTTTGCACCAGCATATTTGCCTTCTTAATTACCATTGCCAATTAATTCATCTGAATGTTCTACATTTCCTATCCTCTATCTAGGTTTCCCAGCCTTGTTCCATGCAACACTGGGGTTCCTCAGTGAGCAAGTCAGTAACATCAGCCAAGCCTCTCTCTAAAACAGCTTTTCTACCACTACCTACCTTCTCCTCCAATGAGAAGCCACAGGCAATCATTGGGTGTGTTCAAGAGTGCACAGGTGACAATGGTACAGCCCAACTGTCCAGGCTAGTGCGTTACATGAATTGGATCCCAGAATGTGCCTAGAAATGTTGCTCAGCATGCAAAGGTTGTATGGCAGGTATACATGGTTTCTCACCAGGCAAGCAGTGTAGAAAGGCTCCCTTAAATGTAAAATATTTCAAACTGATTGCCTTGATCTTTCTCTTGTCAGTAATTAATTCCAGATTCCATTGCACTTTTTCTCCTGAGCTTCTGTGCCTGTTTTCTGAATAAATCCTTAATGTATTGTCTTTTGGTTCAATAGCATAGGCAAGATTTTAAAAGTATCATGTATTTTTCAAGCAGATAGAAGAATGGCTGTTTCCATGAGAAACAAATACAAAACTCTTTCTAGTGGTATAATGAAATCCAAGTGTATTCAGGTGATCAACAGACAAGCTTCATTGAGAACAAAGTATGAACACACATTTCTTTTGCTATCTCTGGAACTATAAAATAAAAAGCAAATCTTGTGGGGAAACATTGGAGTTTGAGATCTATTCTGTGGGGTATCTCAGCCATACACACACTCCCAGGTGCATTTACTTCTATTAATGATGTACTGAAGACAATGGGAGCCAAATTACAATCTCCAGAGTACTTAAAATGATTAATATAATACACAAAGAAGAAGAAGAAGAAGAGATTGGATTTCTACCCCATGGCCCTTCACTACCCAAGGGAGTCTCAGAGTAGCTGACAAACTCCTTTCCCTTCCCCTCCCCACCACAGACACCCTGTGAGGCAGGCGGGGCTGAGAGAAATTGGAAATATTGAAATTGGAAATACCTTTGAATTTATACACATACGGTTTTTTAAAGAAATTAATTCTTTCTTTAAAAACAGAAAAAAGAACAAAGGGAAAAAACTTAAAATCCAACTATTAAAAAAAAAAGAAAAAATATATAAACACACGCATTTGGGGTATCAGATAGACTAGGCTGCGTGCTCTCTGCTGCACAGGAGGGAGGTGACCCAGCTGGGAGATCTTGAAAAGCTGGTAGCAAATTCGAGGGGCTTCCCAGGGCTGTGGTCTGGCTGGAGATTGTGGGTTGGAGGTATTCTGGGGGAGCCGGGGGCAGGTCATCCATGGGATGAGGTGGAATGAGTGGAGCTGAATATTTGAGCTCCTGTTTCCCTCCCACGGGGCTAACCCCAGAGTCCTTCTCTTTGTGCCCTAATCTCTGTAGGGGTCAGACATAGACATTGGAGAGATCCCAAAGCACCCTGATTTAGCACAACTGCACATTCAATCACCTGCTTGAACCCATTACAGTCCTTTAAAACACCCACAGCTGAAACAGAATACAACCAATAACCCACAAAATAAGACTGCATTATCAATACAATATGAATATAATTCACGAAGTAAAGTTGCATCATAAGTTCCCAGAGGTGGACTGCATTAGACTGCATTATCAATGAAAAGTACTGGGTTCGCCGCACGGAGGACTCGGACGACAACATGCGGTTGCACACGTTTATTGAGTACTTAACAACAACGCAACAGCCCTGCAAGGCCAACTATATACACTCCCGTCCCCGGGCCTCCCACTCCATTGGAGGGTTTGAATTTCCCGCCAAGGAGCCTATTGGCCGGCTAGGGAGAGGACTAGGATCCGAGGTCCTATTGTCCTTTTGGAGCCAAGCTCCTCTACTTCTTGCGGGCGCCTTGTGGCGGGCCGCATACATAACAGGCAGAGACCATAGCACAGTGGAAGGGCCCTGGGATAGCATGGCCAGAGCTCCTGGTTGGATCCCCCTGCTGTGGGGAGAGATGAGAGGCAGGCCAAAACCTCGGAGCTGATGTTTTGCCCCTGCAAACTACAAAAGAAGAAGAGTTGGTTTTTATACCCCGTTTTTCAGTACCCGAAGGAGTCTCAGAGCAGCTTACAATCACCTTCCCTTCCTCTCCCCACAACAGGCACCCTGTGAGGTAGGTGGGGCTGGGAGAGCTGTGACTGACCCAAGGTCACCCAGCTGGCCTCATACAGATGAGTGCTGGGGAACCAAACCCAGTTTTCCAGATTAGAGTCCGCCA